TGTTCTGTAGCAATTTGGTGCATTTCGCCAGTGAATTAGCCTTAATTACTATTTATTAATTCTAAATCATTAAATAAAAATTTTATCAAATATTTACTCTCTAGTGCTTTAAAAAAAATTAAATTTATTAAACAACAATCCTATAATAATTTAAATAAAACAGCTAATTATTATATCAAAGGGGGTTATTCTTGAAGAGTGTGTATGGTAACTAGTCGTTGATATGCTAAAATAGTTGTATTTTTGGGTATGCTATTGTATCTACTTTTTTATCTTATATTTAGTTAAAAGAGAACTTAAAAGAGAATTAATATGAAAGAATATCAAAAAAAAGAGAATACGATAGAAGATCTAAATGCTTTACCTGCAAGTTTAATAGATAAAATTGAAAAAATTGATGATGATGACCAAATTAAACCAGGCAAATTTCAAGTAACAGCAAATCTAGTGGCAAGCTCAATTCTTTGGAGCCGTAGCCGTTGTCCTAAAAGAAAAACAAATTTCAAATATGATCAGTTACAGTTAGTCGTATGCATAATTTAGTTGAAGTAGCCAAAAGAATAATTCATAGAATTTGTTAAGTAACTACAAAATAATGGGTTAAAAGCACATTTAAAAATAAAGATTGTAACAATCCGCTAAAAAACAATTTTAAAATGAAGAGATATTGGAGATTTTGAATAAAGTCAAGCTCTTGCAAAAAAAAAAAAATTCATTTAATATATACACTTTAAAGATAACATAAACACAAAATTAAGATCAAAGATCTAAATAGACAATAGAACTGCAAAATCAATAGAAAAAACTAAAGAAAATGGACAATGATAATCGAATTAGTTAGGCCAAACAAACTAGAAACAGCAACAGATCTACGAACCCTACGAACCCAATTGCAAGCCAAACGGTGTCTGAATATAAGAAAAGGTGAGCGAGCAAAGGAGAAGAGCAAACTTAAAGAAGTGATTAGCTGTATATTTCCTGGAAGATGCCTGGCGATGCAGCAGTGAAATGAATATATAAATATATATATATGCGAAGAGATCCAAAAAGTCATAATTTCTTCTTTTTTTTAATGAATTACAATTTAGGGAAGGAAATTTTGACCCAGCCTTATGAGTTGGGAAGTGGACCTTACAAAGAGATATTTAGTTATTGAGCGACAAAACCAAGTGCAATCCAAAAAGTTACAGTTAGTGTAAGGGAATTATAATATGTTAATTAAAGCAAGTTGAAGCCAATTAGAAGAAAGAGGTAGCAGCATATCTTTTCTCCAAGATGCTTTGCAAATATATGAACATAAGATTGTCTGCCATTAAGTCTTAATCAATTCTAAACTCCACAGGTCTTGAAATTATTGGTTTAGTGTTTTATTTAAG